AGCGGGGTCATCTGGCAGTCTCCGGCCACCTAAATTAGGACCCGGAGACTGCCAGATGACCCCGCTCGGAGCGCCGCACACCGGAGCAGCAGTGACGCTCGGCGAGGTAAGTAAGAAGACACCTGACGCTGACTCGAGTACAAGCCGAGGGGGGCACTTTTCAGCCAAAAAAATGGGCTGAAAATCTCGGCTTATACTCGAGTATATACGGTACTCAAGATATTTGGGAGATAGCTCTGTACAAGTTTATGAATGCTTCCTGCACAAGCTGCATTCAGACCAGATCGTATGAGAACAAAGCTGTGGCTCGGAATCAGCTTGGATAGGGTATAGTTAAATTCAGCAGATCTAGAGAAGGTGGGTTACTGTACTTGAAGTAAAAGTACACTTGTCCTTTTAATGCTCTATAGGGTCCAATATATGTTTGAAATCATTAATCTTGAAGTGTTATGCTCAAATTGTAACATATGGTTTATGACATGCTGTATGTATTTTAGGTATTTTGCACTTGGCCTCCTCTATCACTATAACGAGCAGGATGCTGCTGCTCTTCAGGTATATTCATACATGTTTTATTTCATTTTTCTGTTTGTCACTGCTACAAAAGCTTGCTGTGTGTGTGTGTGTGCGTTCGTTAGACTGAAGTTTTAAGAACAGTAGTAGATTACTCTATGTATGGCTTTGTATATTTTTATTATGGACATTAGAGAATGGTCATTCGTGTGGTCAGGTCTTTTTTTAAGGAAAAGCACCGACCAAGGCCAATAGAGACCCTCCTGTGGCCCAAAAAGCTTCTTAAAATCCAGTGCGGCTCCCCTGTTTCAGATGAGGGATCCCGAACACTGTATAAAACATAAACAAATTACCAGGCGCCTGTCCTGATGCAATAAACCTTTTTATTGCTAAAAATGGGTATACATAATATACTCGCAAAAGAAGCAAGGGTGATAGGTATCAATGGACTGATAGTCATCAGTGACTATTTCTGCTGTGGAGGTAAATGGGAAAAAATAAAAGACAATCCAGGAGCTCTGCTTGTCCGCAGAGACACGCTACCACTGCTGAACATGCTTTCAGGGACACTCCCCCTTCTTCAGAGCTCTATTATATGTATGTAAGTCGGATGTCCCCGAGTTACATACATCCGACTTACATCCGACTCCTACTTACAAACGGAGGCTATTACTGTACAGCAGGGGTAGTTGTAATGCTACCGTGCTCGTGCCGACGAGGAGTGCCCGCCTTTTTGGGTCTGGTTCGTAGTGCTGTACGTACATTACAGGAAGTTGGCTCTTGTTAGACATGCAGACGAGGGGTGCCCATCTCTTCTTCCGGGTCACTGTGAGGTTTTTACTGCTGTCTGTATCCTCATAAGAAAGATTTAATCTCACTTCCTGTCCTTGAGACAACAGGACGTAAGAGGAAATCTACCGCTAGGAAGGGAAATTCACTTCTGTAAGAGTCATCATGGGAAAAAGGTGTCTCCAAAGCTAAAAAGCTAAACCCAACATTTTCAAAATCTAATTGTCACATGGACAGAAAGTGAGGTGAAATCTTCTGAACAGGGGCACACACAGCAACACAACCTTTACAGGGGGTTAACCCTTCCCTATGCTATCCCAAAAAATAAATATATTTTTTGGCTGGAGTTACACTTAAAACATTTATCATTCCAACTTAAATACAAATTCAACTTAAGAACAAACCTACAGTCCCTATCTTGTTCGTAACCCGGGGATGCAGTATGTTAACCAACTTTTATGTTAGGACAGCCCATTTACTATTATGGGCTGCCAATGCACCGAGAAGGACCGGTTAACATACAGTACATGCATGGTATGTTGATGACAGCTAACGTACAGTGCTTTGTCTGGTATATATTTCCTTCAGTGAATTCTGTAAATGAATGCACTAGATGCCCACTGACTCTTTCTCTTTTTTTTTTTTTTTAATGACAGGTCTGGGTTAGGATAGTGAATGGTGACCTAGAAGACAACACTCGGCCAGACCTGTTTGAGTATGTGGTAGACTTTCTGACCTTCTCCAAAGACCAGCAGCTGGTGTGGCAGTATGTGGATTGGGTTTTGCAGAAAAGTGAGCAGGTTTGTGGTTCTTAGCTTAGGCTTAGACTGTCAGCCTCTGTGACGGTGTACTATTCATGCTGCTATAATGTTGTTGGAAATATATAGTATTAGACTTTTTATGATATCGCTGTGACCATCTCTGAGGACTCCTGTTACTTGCAGTAACATTATTTGTATAACAACCCACTACATAACCTGAATGTTTCTGATTTCCTGCTTCCTGGTCAAATTAGCAGAGAAATGTACACAGAACCATTTTACATTTACTTCATATCATGGGAATACAAGGGAAGGAGTACGAACACCCCAAGGTGCCCAGTAGTTCAGCAGAGCTAAAGACTATCAGGAACAACTTGCCTTTGAGGTCTAAGAGATACTAGGGCTTTAAGGACAAAACAACTTTCCTTCCTTTTTATAATGTCTGCACCATCCTATTGAAGGATACAAAAATACTGTATTTATATCTTTGACAGTATGACGGAACACACTTGTACAACTATGACAAAAAGTGCACATGCAAGAAATCATTGGATGAAAACACTTAAAAGCATACACTCAAAAAATCTGCTGTGAACAAACCAGCAATTGCAGGTTCAAATAGATGACTGAGCTGGATGACCCGGGTCATATATCGGCAAATGAAATTAAATTTACCAGGTGAACCCCTTAGAAGCACTTAGATATGTAATGCAGAAAAGTTATGTCCCCTATCTATGCAATAGTATAAAATGGATCACACCTGCAATGCATATGAGGAAGTTACTGTAGCAAATATGCCAAATGCTTGTTACAAGGTGGCATACCTTGACGCAAACCCGTATGTCAGGAATGTAACTGCGCAGAAATTAATATATCAACCAACAATATAGGCAATGAAATAAGAGCATATCCAACACATTTAGCAGAATTAGGTTAGTCATCCCTCCCAGTACATATGATGTAATGATAATTATAGATAAATGACATATTCATGTCACAGAGATTTCTCCTTCAGTTCAAAAAGGTATATGTTAAATCTGCAATATATCGTAATATTAAATGCCACAGAGATCCTCAGTCCCATAGCTTATAATATATACATGTCACAAAAGAATCAAATTCAAGCATCTCCCAAATATATTGTAATAAGCCATTTAACAGTGTGAATAAGCTAGGTACAGGAAAACTAATAAGTCTGCATGATGTGGTGGTGATGGTGGGTGGGAGCTGCCTCACAGTGATAAGAAAAGACTGGTGTCGGAGTGGAATGAACTCAATGCATTTTGCGGCCATGCACTGCTTCATCAATAATGACTCACTCCTGTTGATGTGGTTTCTTCAGTAGTTTTCAAGGGAGCGCGATGTATGTTTTCGGAGTTTTTAAAATAAAATGTTTTGTTGCATGTGTCATTTTTGCACAAGTGTGTTCCTCTATATTGTCTTACTAAGATATAAATGAAAGTCTTTTTGTATGCTTCAATAGCATTGTGTATCATTCATAGTTGTGCAGACAGTACATAATAGGAAGGAAAGTTTTTTGGTACTTAAAACTGTTGTAGTGGTCCGTTCCTTGTCGCGCAGGTTCACTTATATAAGGGATATGAGGTTCGTGGATGATGCAACCCACCAGCCTCCCTATAACAGAAACACTACTTAGGAATGGATTGACTCTGAAAAAGGATGTCACCTGGATCACAGCCCTGTGATTGTATGCTTCTTTAAAGGAAAATTGTTGATCATAATAAGTATTTTTAGCACAGGTAAAAGTGATGTAAAATGTCTTTCTGTACTGTGAGCTTTATTACCTTTTTATATTATATTCGGTTATCTCATAAAAACAAAAAGTAATTTCTAAGTTAGGGATGTGTTCTCTTCACTGTATTTACAAAATTATGACATATTTACAATAGTTACACACAGGTGACATATACGGTTTATGATAAATGAGATTATATGTAACAGTGTTTTTCTTTGTTTTTCACTATATTCCATCTTGCAGATCGGGGTCCAGATCTTCACCAAACGTTCTTTAGATGAACAGTTGCAGAACGGTTTCTGTCCAGATACGATTGTGAGCCATCTGTGCAAGTACCGGCAGGCTTTGCTGCTCTACCTGGAACACTTGGTCATGGATAAGATGATCCAGGTAATGGCCTTAATCAAATCTTCATTATGGTTAGGTCCATCAGCCAAGAGAGCAGTCCATACATGAACACTAACTGCCGTTATTGATTAGATTTTTTGCTCAATAAACTATACATGGCCTGGCCCAAAAAATAGCACACACTGTAATATTTTTTTGAACCGCCTATAGCTTTGATTACAGCACACATTCGCCGTGGCATCGTTTCGATAAGCCTATGCAATGTCTCAAGATTTAATTTCCATCTGGAGTTGCATTATTTTTTCACCAAGATCTTGTAGTGATTATGGGATAGTCAGATCACTATGTAAAGTCTTCTCCAGCACATCCCAAAGGTTCTCAACAGGGTTAAGGTCTGGACTCTGGTGGCCAATCCATGTGTGAAAATAATGTCTTATGCTCCCTGAACCACTCTTTCACAATTTAAGCAATCCTGGAATTGTCATCTTGGAATATGTCCATGCCATCAGGGAAGAAAAAATCAATTGATAGTAAAACCTGATCAGCATATTCAGGTGCCTCATTTTTTGGGGACACAACAGTGCTGAACCTAGACCTGTCCAACTGAAGCAACCCTGATCATAACACTGCCCAAAATCCAGGTGGTGACTAGGGCTGCAACTCATGGTTATTTTCATAATCGATTAGTTGGCCGATTAATTTTTTCGATTAAATGGATTAAAAAAGTGAAACGCCGTCCTTAATTCAAAATAAAATACACAAATGCAATGCTACAAATGTAAAGTTTACTTCTGAATAAAGCTGCTTCAGCCGGGGAATGACAGCTGCCAGTGGCAAGATTCAGCAGATGGCAGCTGAATGTAAATACAGCAGATAGCGGGCTGGTGCAATAGCTAGCCTGCTATTGGCCATTTCAAACCCGCCCACTTCTTGCTCACAGAGGAGAGAGCTAGGGGGTCCAACCAACTAATCGATAATCAGAAAAATTGACAACTATTATCATAATCGATTATCATCGATTAATCAATTTGGTTGGTTGCAGCCCCAGTGGTGACTTCTTTTTTTTGGCTGATCAGTGTACTTACGCCATTTGCAGTAATTACAGCTTGGCAGACCTTTGCCATTCTACCTGTCAGTTTATGAAGATATTCAAAAGAATTGTCAACCCACAAAACCTGTAGCTTGCCTCAGAGGGGTAACTGGATAGTAGGGCATTTTACTCTGACCTTAAAGCAAAGTGTTTCCCACAAGTGCTTGATAGGATTTCAATCTGGTGACTGTGCCAGCCAGTCCATCAAAGAGAATATTTCTGTGGCTTCCTGTTTCTTCACCAAATAGGTTTTGCGTAACCTAAAAGTTTGCTTCAGATTGTTGTCCTGCTGACCACAGACATTGTAAAATAGATTGGTGACTTTTTTTAGTTTATTACACCTGGCACTCTGTGTAAATCTTCCACCTTCCCAGCACAACAGGAACAACATATATTTGCATGCTTAACAGAAGCCATCGAGCACTTTTCCAGTCGCCTTGATCCAAACACCTCATCTGTCCGTCTGCAACATTAGTATATCTTGCCTTGGTTATTTTTTTATTCATTTATTGGCGCATTTATATATTACAAAAATAATTATTATTTTCAAAAAAAAATTTTATTAGTGATTCCAAACTTTAGTTTTTTCCAATACTTGAATGATATTCTGTTTATTTTTCTAGGAATTTTTAAGATTGTATTCTTTGTTAAACAAATGTACATGGAAGTTAGTATCATTGTAATCTTATTTATTATTATAGTGCTTCTACACATTTAGCATCAAAATGAAGAGAACATGTCATCCCTGGCAATGAGTTTTCTCCCTGATGGGTGAAGCTTATTTGCCGCAGTGTATATATCTTCATATACTATCAGCCATTTCATCATACCAAGTCATTTCTATTCTGAGTAATCCAGTTATTGTTTCTCCTCACATCCAGAAGGAAAAGTATCATACACACCTTGCTGTGCTATACCTGGAAGAAATCTTAAGACTAAAGTCTAGGGACTCCTTGGGCCACATTGAACTGGAGGAGCTACATCGGAGATTTCAGAATCTTCTGCGGCAATCAGACCTTTACCGGGTGCTCTTCCTCATAGGTGCGTGTGTTTTAGTTTTTCTTCCTGTCACTCAGTTGAATGGAAATGCACTGGCTGTGTGTTAATGTATGAGTATACGGTATGTATAGCTATCTTGTCTCATCACTTTTAATGCTTAGTTGGCACTTTCCACTTGTAGTCACGTGTTTGAACTTTCCAGTAAATATGTTTTTTTTGTGTATATGTTCTGTTTCAATTGGTTTGCTCAGATTTGTTCTATTATTTCCCCTATCAGATAAAATCAAAGGCACAGATTTGCATATGGAGCGAGCAATATTACACGGGAAACTAGAAGAGCATGACCAAGCATTGGATATCTTAGTTCACCAGTTAAAAGACTTTGCTGCTGCTGAGAGTTATTGTGTGTGGAACTCTGAGGGCAGGGATGCTCCTTATCGCAAGAGACTTTTTCAGCTCCTTCTCTCCTCCTACCTCCGTCCCTCCACACCTGACAACACTTTGACGGTCGCTGCTGTAGACTTATTAAATAACCACCCCACAGAATTCGATGCTGCCAGTGTATTGCATTTGTTGCCAGAAGAATGGTCTGTGCAGCTTCTCTCCCCATTTCTAGCAGGGGCCATGAGGGGGCATGTTCATGCTTTAAGGATGTCACAGGTGGCAGTAGGATTAGCAAGGACAGAGAACATCATCTATAAAAAGGAGAAGGTGAGTGAAGAGCTTTTTTTTTAATCGTACATTTATAGTGATTTCAAAAATGTTTGCATTCCTACTACCAGGTCTGATATACAACACACATATTGGCCTGCCTGTTAAATTGCAGTTATAGGCACAGGTTGCTAATATTCTTTTAAACTGTCATCACCATAAAGGGTCACTTTGTTGTGGGTGTTTACTACAGTTGTGGTGGTTTTCTGTACATTGCCATGCTTACCATCTTCCAGTGTGACAGAAGATCTGTCTGATAGATGCTAGTTTCTATACTCAATGACACAAATCCATGCTGCAGTTGGCATAATTAAAGCGGCTCTGCCACTTTCCACAGCACCATTGTACAGTATAGCCAGGAGGTGGCTGATGAGATTTAAAACAAGCTCACGGCTGCTATTGAGCTGATTTAGTCCCTTTCAGTGCCATGATGTGTGCAATGCATCATTGGCAGGAATTGAAATGAATAGGTTAATAGCAATACTAGACATGCCATTGCTGACTTGTTTTTAAAGGTGCAGGGTTCAATACTGTTATCTTGATCCTGGAACCACTACTTAGCATGTCACTGCCTGAAAAAGGCATGCAGCAAATAATGTCTCCCATTCACACTGAGCGATTTATCGAGCGATTTTTGCAGCCATATCGCTCATATTTCCACGCAATATCGCTCTATGTAGCTTGTCCAATCCATTTCAATGGAGCTGTTCACATCTCGTCGCTCAATATCGCTTGTAGCTCCTACATGACCCTTTTTTCGAGTGATTTTGCTCTTGATTGCATACAGCCCAATAGGAAAAAGTCGCTCAATATCGCAAGTCGCACAATATCGCAAGTCGCTCAGTGTGAATGGGGCCTAACAAGGATGAATTTGTGTCTTGTTTGTTGTTTCAGGTCAGTTACTAGGTTTTAAAACCAGGTTCATGATAACAGCTTTGAACCCTGCACAATAAAACCAAGACAGCAGTGTCAGATCCCATACGTTTGTCCTCTTGGGTCACTTTGAATTTGTAGTTGTTTTTACCATAAACCTTTTTTAGAGGGAGGGCCGGAGTTCCCCACTCCTGCTTTAAATAGTTTAGTATTGGAAGGCCAGTTCAGATACATTCCTTTGATCTGCTGTTTGCTAGCGTTAGCACAAAATAAAAGCAGTTGAAGCACTTATTTTGACAAGCTTAACAGTAAATACTATAAATGAAGAGTTTCAGTTATTAGGTGTTCAGAGTTTGAATTGATACCACTGGTGTATTTTTACTATTTTCAGTTAAACTTGAAGGAAAAGCCAATAATTCTGTCAGAGAAGAAGTTTTGCCATGTGTGCCGGAAGCCATTCCAAGAGCCGGTATTTGCCAGACAGCCCAACGGTCATATCGTTCATACCCACTGTGCTACCAACCAGCATGTCAACAGCAGCATTGACCATGTGCCCAGTCAAAGCAAACGAACATGAATTAAAGTGATGAAGAATATCAGTGATTACAGTAGCCTCCCCGCTGCAGACAGCGATGGAACAGGGAGACTGGAGGCTTCAGCGCAATGTAATGTGAAAATAATGCACTTATCTGCGGACCTGGAGACCAATGATAACAGCAGTTTGACTCTGCAGGACTTGGCAATGAAGGATACTGGCTATATCTGTCCTTGCACAGCTACTTTAACAATGGAGGAATCATGTGTCAGTTCTTAACTGAGCTATTTGCATTTTTAAAAGATATTTGCACTGAAGATATTTTGCATATACTTTAATGGGCTGGATAAAGAAACATGGACTGTAGGAGACAAGATATGGAGAATGTGTCTGTCTTCTCAGCTACTACGGCAGTCATTGTGAAAGTATATAGTGTGGGTCTATTCAATCATGTATTTTTTATGTATTGCACATTCTACCAATCTCACGTTCATAGTAAGCATTCCAGTCACATAGAAGGTGATCCTTTTTCTAAGAACAGAAAACTGGCTGCACCACAGACTCTTCCACATGTAGTCCTGAGAATACAAGATGACTTCAAAAGGTTCATCACCGCTGTCATATCCACTGATTAGAGCTGAAATCCACTAAACCTTTTAAAGATTATTTCAGTATACATCGATAACTTGATTTAATACATTGATTCTGAAAGTCCTGTGTTTTACACTTGTTTCATTGTTTCCTTGTTCTTCTACATGTAGAGGTTCACAAATAGGGGGAGCCACTCATTTACTGCCTACAACCCTCACACCATGTATTTTTGACCTTGGCCTGTATGTATTGTTATACGGTTAATTAGGGAAAAGCTTCTACATAACTGAAAAGTGGTTGGACCAGCGGAACAAGGATAAGAAGGTTTGCTGTTACTGTTCAAATCTTGTATCACATAGTTTTCTTGGAAATCTCGAAGCAAGTGAAAATCTTTTTCAGTCCATTAGTTCTCTAGAATATATGTACCATTCAACTGCAGATCTCTATGGCAGTGATCCATGGTCTATTGCCCATGTTTTGCAGCTCTCTTTACAGGGGAAAATGTTCAAAGGACGGTGCTATTATAAATTCTGCATCTCTTGAAAAGTACTGCTGACACCACTGATCCCATTTCAAAAATGATAATGCATTTTGCATTAAAGTGTAACTTCCACTCAACCGGCTTGTGCTAGAACATACAGACATGTTATGTCCGACTCTTTCCTTTCATTGGCCATTTTATTGTCCCCTATCTCACCTCTCTCACTAATATAGACGTCGAATCTACTGTATCAGCTTTGCTACCAGTGCATCTCTAACACATGAGCTAGTTGACAATATGGTCAGATATCAGGGCGCGGTGGAGTCATACCTTTCTGTGATCCGTGATGTTGGCCAACATACAGGTGAAACTCTAATAATTAGAATATCGTGCAAAGTTCATTTATTTCACTAATGCAACTTATGCGGTGAAACTAATATATGAGAGAGACTCATTACATGCAAAGCAAGATAATTCAAGCCGTGATTTGTCATAATTGTGATGATTATGGCTTACAGCTCATGAAAACCCCAAGAACCCCAAATCCACAACCTCAAAAAAGTAGATTATTACATGCAATCAATAAAACAAGGATTGTACATAGAACAATATCGGACCTCTGAAAAGTACAAGCATGCATATGTACTCAGTACTTGGTTTGGGCCCCTTTTGCAGCACTTACTGCAATTACTTTTGCACGATATTCTAATTATTCGAGTTTCACCTGTAGTTTGAAATATGAAAGTAAAGTGATATAGGAAAGGGCATGAGACAGATAAGTTTGAAAGCAAGAAAATAACAGAAACGGTCACATTTCAATGGTGAAAATAAACTCAGGCTGTAATGCAGCAACGTACCTTATTCTTAATAAACTCTCTCTCTTGCTCTGACTGTGCTGTTTGGTTCCTGTTTTCTGTCTGTCTTCCTCATTTCCTGACTTTCTGTCTGTCCTTTGTAGCTGTGATAGAATATACAGTATGTCTCTTAATATTGTTTTTGCATTTATTTTCCATTTACTGTTTACAACAAGCATCCCAGCTGAAAACAAACCTTCTTGAGTGGTTGTCTCTACAATGTCCTAAATGGAGCTCCCTGAAGCAAACCCATCCAGTTCAAACATTCTAGCCATCTAGCCACTCACCCACTTGGTTTTCACTAAGTTGCAGAGAAAGCTGCCACAGTTTCATCTCCTCATGGCATAAGGGCTAACTGGCCACCAGGGTAATAAGAAATCTGCACATGGTTCAGCTCGGCCTTGCTATGGGGCAGAAAAAAATACGGCCCATGGCACAATGTTGGCCCAGTGATGTCGTTGTAGCATTGAAGACCTTACATAACGGAAAAGAATGCTTTGAACTTTAATGAAAAGCTTATACAAGGGAAAATGCATAGAAACATTGACCCTCACCATCCTTTGAACATCTTCCCACCAGATCACTGGTGAAATGAAGAGGGTTATGTAAATTTTGTAATTTTTCCTCAGATACGGTTTTCATCCTTAATGTCATCTCTGCCGCTCTTCAGCCAGTTCTTGTCTACATACAATCATGTAATCACATCACAAACACCTGTCCCTGAAGACCATTTCATATGCCCACCGGGTCGGCAAAGACCATCTTCATGGACAATCTACCTGCATTTACACCTGTTAAGTTCTGCACTGTCACTCTGCTGTAGGGGCCCTCCAGACCACTGCACTGGTAAGCCTGGGTGGTTGGGAGCAAGATGCAGGCCGTGCCAAAGCTATTTTGTGCAGGTGACCCTCTTCCCTCTCACGCTTATCAAGTGACGCATACGGCTCGGGACATATTGGTAGTATGTCGGTCTATAATGACCAGGCCTCAGAATAGCCATTACCCCCTTCTGCTCTGCAGCAGGCAAGGGAATAGCTCCTGGTCATTTTTACCATTTTCATATACTGTTAATATGTTGGCCTATAGTGACCTGGTCACAGAACCGCAAGACTGCAGGGGTTGCAAGCAGGCTCCCTCACCTTCCCTCTCAGGTTTCCCCTCTGACCTTCCTTTGTCTGCCTTTCCACTCCCTGCGGACGAAGATGAAAAGGGGATTACTTCCAGTTCTGTGGATTCAGCCCAGCAAGAGGACCTGTCTCCTGACATCTCAAGGACACAATTTTTGTCCTTGTGGACATGGTTCTGAATTGTTTACAGTTCGAGCCGCCTGCATTGACCTTATCAAAGGTCACTTGTGTGGGTTCTTTAATAATGGCCACACCTGCTAAAACTGGGTCAGCGGGCTTCAGCAGTGGATGCCTTGGTGACTCTGTGATTAGTTAAGCCTGATCCATGCCTTCCTAGTCCTCTTAAATTTAGTAAGTTGACCTCCCACAAAGCCTACTGTCGTGCCTGGAAGGCTTATTTCATGTTGTATGAAGGGTCTAGGTCCTCCTTTTTTCCTAAGGTGGTCTCAATCTTCCCCCTTAACTAGGGCATTGTGTTGCCACCCTTACATCCTATTCCTAACCATGCCACAAAGTTTCTCTCAACTGCGTGAATATGGTTTGAGCTTTGTGAGCTTCCGTTTCTGCTAGAGCTTCCATCCGCAAGTCTGCACAGAAACCCATTGTTATTACTAGGTGTAAATTAAGGTATGTAATGGGAAGGTTTTATTTAAAAAATTGATTAGCATGTTGAGGAGAGGAAGGGGGGGCGGGGGGCAGTGAAGGCAACATTGAAATAGATTAAAAACTCAGTTAAGCAAAGGGAGTACTTTGATCTAGCAGGTCTAATAAGAGGTATCAGTGTAGCATATCTATATAAATATGATTGATTTTCTACATATGCAGAGTGAGAAGCAAAAAGCTGAGTCTCGAGTCTGATGAGTTTTACACTTGCTGGTCACAGAGTGAGAGGCAAGTCAACACATAGCTAAGAACATAATGGCTACTGCAAGGATCAGGATGTACATGATCTCTGGGCTAGTAGGTATTGTGTGATGAACTGTTACTTTGGTTGCTAAGGCAAAAGCAGGGGGATGAGCTGAGGGCAAATATTGATACATAGTTAAAAACAAAGTCTATCACAAAGATAGGAATTGTAATAACAGTCCCAAACTTGGATCATGAGCGGCTGGTCCTGCTGGGAGACTGAAGAAACATGGCGCTGGCTTTATGGTTAGGAAGGAACATGAGGGTGTTTTCATGGAGAACACAAGTAAGAGGTTTCAGGAGATCGAATTCGTATGTTTGAATTGGTACACTGGCCGTAATTGGGGAGAAAGGTCCAATCCAATTTAGTGATTACATGCTATGGACACCACTACTTTTCTTCAGCTTTAGCATAACAAGAAGCTCAAGCTCATTAAGGTTGAACTGTGCAACTGTTACCTCCAAATCTAACCATGTATGCCAGCTCATTTGGAATGTGGATGCTAATTCAAATGTAAAGCATGAGTTATTATATAAATATTCAAGGGAAAGCAGTAATAACTGTGCATAAGCTGTATAAAAAAATGAAACGCGTGTACTAAGTGCAGGCAATTTGATGTAGAGAAAATGAGGTAATGGTGTCAATGTTGCTATATAACTCTCTAATAATAACCCATCATTATTACATTTTACCTGTTTACAAAGCAACCAATAGAACCTACTGAATTGGTCACATATTCGCTGTGTGCATATCAAGGAGAATGTGTTCATGTTTAACTTACTACCTTAGGCCTCATTCACACCAAAACTGCATTGAAAATGCATGCGTTTTAGCCATTGCGATGCGTTTTGGATGCAGTTTTTTTTTCTCAAAATGCAAATCAGACCATATGTCACTTCCTTCATCCTGTCACAGCGCTTTCCTCCTTCATTTTCTAGCTCAGGCATGCTTCCTTTGTTTGAAGGCATGGTGTTAGTGTTGGCTATAGCCATTCTCACCCATCGTAGGAGGTTATTATAATATCATAATAATAGCGTCGTTACCCCTTACTGACGGTCCGAGATATTTGATTATTAGATTATCATCCATGTCTGCCATGTTTCCAGAGCTGTTCCATTCCTAATCTCTGCTTGGCTGTCATGCTTATCCTGTGACTGCTACTTGACCCATAACAAGTATTCAGATCAGGAGATTAAACGTTACTTTATTTTTAAAGCCAGAGGAATAGCATGACAGCCAGACACCTGGCATTTTCTGGAATAGGTCAGACATGGCATCTACATACTTGTAGGGTTATTTTAAACCTACAACTGGAAAGTAAATGAACTCTAAAGGTGTGCACTGGACCTACCATGCACTATATTATAAAGGCCATTCGCCTTTTATCAGGACCCATTTTATTATACACCACTGATCATTCTTCACTCTGTTGGCATACCTAGTGAGAGACAGATAGGTGTAGCCAATCAGATGATGTTTCCTTTTCATGTATAATCATGAGCAAACAACGCTATATGCAGCACAACAATGTAAGTAAATAGATAAAACGCCAAATCGAATAAAATGCTACATTTATTCCTGGAATTATTGCAAATTGTGTGATATACCCATTTCTCATATTGCTC